AGCATGTGTTTTTCCTTCGCGGGCACACGCCTCTTCCCGTTTTCTGGGGGGCATCTTGATAGAAATCGCTGCTCGCAAAAAAAAAAAGCGGCGTCTCAAGCGTCGGATATGATACAGTACATTAGGGCCCAAAATTAAAACCAAATAAACAAAAACATAGGAAAATGTAACATGCTCAAGAGGAAACGATTGCCGTGGGCTCGCACATCTTCCCCTCAGGAAAAAGCAGCATGGTCTACTACATGCTGCTGAGAGTATCTGTGCAGCTATCACAAGTGGAGGGTATTCAGCTGCCGTGCGGGCTACGCACATCCTTGCGGTACGTCTGTGCCCCGGGTGCACTTTGCGCAATGCACTGCTGCAGGATTACTCCCCACCCTAAAGCTCGGCCTCGACAGACGGGTGCCCACAACAGGCGACTGCGCCGCCGGTCGCGCGCCCGGACCGGCGGTGGGGTGGCCGGATGTGGGTGTCAGAATTTTGAGACGGAGTTTCAAAGTGGAAAGGAATCCTGCGTTGCGATTCATGCGTGCTGAGGGCAGACGAACTCTTGGCGAGTACCATAGACAGCAGTGCAGGTGTACTCAACATGCGCACACATGCGCAGCGATGAAAGAGAAACGGAAATCAAGACTGACCCACGAGGAGAAATAAGCGAACCCAAGCAAGGCCTGGATGCAGAGGGAACATATCGAGTAAGTCTCGCTTCGAAGCCCTTCGAAGCCCATCTTAGAGAGAGAGATATATACCACCACAGAAATGACGGCCCAGACCTTGCTCCATGACCAGCATCAGCATCATCAGAAAAAAGTCGTGCTTATCGCGGTTGGGGCTGCCATAACACGTGACGCATATATTGCCGGAGAAGCACGCTCTACGGCAGTAATGGTACCAACAACAATGCACACACATGTGTGCGTATCATTTACAAACCGATGGAAAGCGCTCGTTACGAGCACCGACTGCAGCTACAGTACTACAGACTGGAGACTGGACGAGTAACTCACGTATCCCCAGCTTCGGTAGATACGGTCAGGTAGTCACCACTGGCACTTTCCCTGTGGTGGCCTTTCGATCCGACCGCCAATCTGGCAACATTCGTGGTGGAAACGGGGGGCGCGCGGATGGGCGCAAACAAGAACGCGAGGCGCAGTAAGCGGCAAGAATATTGAAGACAAACGCCGGCTTATGCACATCTGGGGGGAAAGGCGGGAGCGTGTTGGCCGCCCAACAGAACAGGCACCCAACCTTTAACTTGGGAGTAATATTACCATGGTTACGGTGTACTATGCGCACACATTTGGACCTTGAGGTTGGCACTAGAAGACAGAGGTGGATACCACGGGTGTACGAGATCATAGGTGACTTCCTTCTGTTTCACCCAAAACTTTTACGGCGGCAAGTTACGCCAATCGAGCCGTCGTTGCTCTGTCGGCAAGCCGTGATTCGAGAGAGCGCGACAAACGCAAGAAGCACTATACTGCGCTCCATTTTTGGGCATTTTCGATTTCTTGGTCGGAAGGTCAGATGAATACCACAATGGGTGGGGTCGGTCGCCCGTCAGCGGTCGAAGCAATCGTGCGCGAATTAACGACTACACTGTTAACACTATTTAGAGCCCCGTCAGGTATGTAGTGGGAAAAGTCTCTGTTGCGCTCTACAGGAGGTATTTGCATGGTTATGTTGTCACAGGGGCATGCCTCAACACGCTAAATAGAGGTTCATACCATCCGTAAATCATGGCTCGCAGTTGCCCCCCGAGCCACCACACCTAATCTCTCTTTTCCACACTGTACTAGGATTTTCACACTTTATTTCCCCGTGCTCGCGGACTGTTCATATCTACAATACTGCTGCAACCAATGCACAGAAAATTCGGAAGCGACGCCCAGAAATCACCGAAGGAATTTTGTCTACTTGGTAGCTATGTTCCACAGATGGGCGCCAGTTACGAGTCGGAATGAGATCACGACCACAAACGAATGGTGCAGATGTATGTACGCGTTGACGGGACCGCCGTAGCGCAGGACTCCCGTCAGGCCACATGATAGCTCTGGAACCCAACCGCTACAGATCAGCCGGCACATGTTACGTTCGATACTAGGACTACATGTAATTAATGTCATGCAGGGGACACCGGGACACAAAAGGTCTGACAACAAGTAACTACAACAGCCGTTCACCATTACACATTACACGCCCACACCTGGGGGAAAAGAGACCGTTGCTCGAGTCGCCGAGGGCCCCAAAGGGGCCCGAAGAAGAGTAGATGCTGTCTCGAAGGAAGTCGTGAACCACCGGGGATGAAACGGTCCGCCGGTGGGAAGGCTTGCTGGAGCCCTTCTCGAGGGAGAGATGTTGGGCGAGATTGTTGCCAGCAGGAAAAAAAAAAATACACAACACACGAGAAAATTTATCTGTACGAAGTAAGAAATATGCATGCAATAGGAAAAGATTGGCGGAGTGCCTTTTGTAAGCTCTTCCTGGTCTAAACATACTTCATTCTCTCATCGAACTTGCGGAGGAGGACAGCAGGGAGAGGGGAGAGAGGGAGAAGAGGGTCAAAACCGTCGAAGAAAAATATCTGTGTACAAGAAGCGCAACAAACTTCCGGCAATTGTATACCTTTTCATGAATCCTGATCCTTCCGTGTCTTTCGTCCGGAGGTGTGGGAAACTCCCCCCCTGAGGTGGCCACAACTGCGGACAGAACAACGCGCTCCCGACGACATGCTTACAGGGCTTTACACGCATACATATCTGGCGGACTGCTAATTCTCGAAACAAACTTAGCAACTTTGCCACAAGGACATTCTGCCGCTCGTTGCTTGGTAAGAAACAGACTTGAGCAGGCTCTGGCCGCAGCGGCGTACCTAATACTTTACGGCGGTTATCACTACATGGACTGCAATAGCCGGGTCTGAGGGCCGGCGGCGGAATAATGAAAAACGCCCGTGTGCCGAGGCAAGGAGATTGAAGGCAACCAATATACCGCGGAAAGCTGCCCTGCTGTATCTCAACCCGCGGGGGACGCGAAATTGCCTAATCTACTGCGACTGACGTGCGGGAATCAGCCAACAAAGAGACGCCAGTATCATGCAGTCATTTTACTATATAATAATATCATAGACACTCCAGACGAGGATGCATGAATGGGGACGGCGTTGCTGGCGTGCGTGTCGACAGCAGCTACCTCATTTCGGAGCGTCAGGAAACTCAAGCCTGAAGACCAAAATCGCAAGCTGATGCTGCGGTCGAGCTTACGAGAGACGCGAGTCGTTGTCTGATTCTGCACAAGGGCGAGGGCTTATGGGTCACAGCACGCACGTGCCAGTGTCATATCCATCCTCCTGCTGTATGTACGAGACCGAAAGGACAAAAGCGGAGGCAGATTGTAGACAGGAGGGCATGACTTGCCTGTCTTCGTGATGGGAAGCCGAACGCGTCTTCCTCCCTGCCCCCTGTCGCGCCCGGCACATCATTTGGCTCCATCCTCGTGGCTCCCTCCAAGCCCTAGCCTAGTCGTTGGTATGACAGACCTGTGCCGCTGCCCCCCGGCCGGTGCCGGCTGGTGCGGCTATAGAGAAGAGGACACCGCAAAAAGCGAGTACAAGGCTCGTTGTGAGCTGACCTTTCACCTCTCTCTCGGTCCCTTTCTCTCCCTTCCCTCTTCGGCAAAACGCGGCGTGCCGTGGTCAGCAATCGAGAGCTATCAAGGACAGCAGTACAGGCACGCTGGCACGCAGGTCCAGAGCTAGCGAGGCACCAGGCTGCCGTGTACCTCTAGGTTTGGGTTGCGTGGTGTCCTCCGCGTGGGAACGCTCCACTCCCTCTCCCGTGGTGGTCTCCGGCGTCCCTTCCTTAGCTTTGTCGAGTTGCCCTTTCTGGAGTGGAATACACTTGCACCAGAGCAGGGTGTGTAAAGGCGTGTGCGTGTTGGTCCCGTCCGAGGAAACCAGCTGTGTGAGGAGGTGTCAGCACCTTCGTTGATCGGCGTGTCCCCCGCCGCCGGTATGATGGAGGGATCAGACGTAGGAGTCCGCCTCTGTTTGTGTTAGCCCTCTTACACGCGCGTTTGAAAAATCATGGAACGCCTCAGAGGAAAAAAAAGTGATCCGAAAATATAGTGAGCAGCAAAAAGAAAGAAAGCTGATTTTGTTGTCATCAGGACCGGTTAGGCGGCCCCCGGGGTAAAAATGGTTTGTTTAATTGTTCCCACACAGCAACAACAACAGCTGGCACAACTTTCGAACTGGACCGTTTTACTTACGTGGATATGTTGCATTTAATAGCCGACGGCCGCTGCTGGTACATACGATGAGTTCAGCACGAAGACGGTCGGCACCGCTCGATCATTGTTGTTGTTTTCCTCAGCTCGATCGAAGGAGACGAAAGCTTCAACAGACATACATCTATATGAAGCTGTTGACCACGAGCATTCTTCCGCTGGAGCAATTCACTTCTTCAGCGTACCTCCCGCGCACAAACACACGAGTGTTTTGTGTTTTCAACCGCACTAAGACTGACGTCTTGCCATTAGTCGGCCGGTTAGCGCGGTCGATGCTAATAATAAAAAACACACACATGAAGGTCGAACAAAGTTTCTCTGTGTGGCGATCTATTGCTGAATCATCAGTGAGAAACGTGTGTTTGAGACGCGAGCGAGAACAGCAAGAATGTTCACAAGCATTTTGGTGTGTGCTGCTGCACCAGAGTGATTGCTGCACCAGAGTGATCTCGGGAAAGCCGCAGAAAACGCCACCCCCCGCCCCCCCAGTTTTGCACCATGAAAACGCTTCTTAAACGGAAAGTGGACTATTATTGGACTATAATAGGGTTCGTCAACGGAACAGAATTTTGGTCAAAATGATGTAGGTCGCATGCTCCAATTGACTCTCTTTCTTCTTGCTTCACTTTTTTTCATCCACCACGAGCACAAACGGATGCATATATTGATGTGTATACCTGCATGCATAGAACAAGAGGACAGGAGATGATCAGCGCGTACTTTTTGAACATGAAATAAACTGTTCAACATCTCGCACGGAGAGCAACGGGATTTCGGCCGCGAGGCATACTGCCTTACAAACGTAGAAGTAGGCAGTGCTCAGTCCACCATTTAGTTGTCAGTGTTGTCCTATTGAGTGCCATAACAACCGCCGATGCGAATGGCTGAAGCCAAACGCAACTGCACCAATGCAATCCAGCTCCGTCCCTGGCACGCATGTTGCGGGTTCAAAACTCGCCTTGCACAAAACAGAGTTCCCATAACTGGGAACGAGAGACATCTCGCGCGCCCGCTTGTACCCCACCTAGTCGTTCGAACTCCTTCACCACCATGTATCACGCGGTAACAAGTTCTCTCCCATCCTCCTCGCTCATTGAATCTCGTTTTTGGATACTTCTGCCTCTTGTAGTCACGAGTCAGCTGCCAATCCGCAAACACCACATGTACTCTATTCGACTTTCCTCGCATGCATGCATGCACACACAAGATAATCGCGAATTCATGAACGTGCGGGTCTCGACAGCAGCAGAACCAACATGACCTAACCTCGGGATCCCTCGCGGTGTAGCAAAGACAGGCCAGCGATCAAGGTGTGAGCTCTCCCTATGGTAAACACCGTATGTGTTTGCGGCACAGGCAGGAGACAGGAGTCTTCCACGTTCGTTCTCCGCTCTGCGGGCAATCTCACCCACGAGGGCAACAAGCTTTCACAAGGGGGGGGGCTGTTACTTGCGACTAAAACACACAAGAGGCAACAATGGCCAGGCGATTCACTAGGCCTGGTCCTCCCTGCCGGTGTCCTTTGTTGCGGATTACACGAAGGGTTTGAAGGACCCGTTCCACTACACATACATAAGACACGACGGGACGGGTTCTCTTGCCGTAGTCGTAGTCGCTCCTTGTGGTACGCGAAGTCACAAAGCAGCATTGCAGGTGTTTCGCGATAGTACGAACCGCGATCGCTATGCTATCGTACGCGAGTGGGACCTGATGTTCTTCTCCCGTTGGAACCTCCACGCCAGTGTATATCCCACTCAGCCACTGGTGGGATGCATAACCAAGCAGTGCAACAACAAAAACAGCAGAGATCCCAAACAGGGCAATACAACACGAAAATGAACCAGTGTTGGTCTCGGTTGCGCAAAGAGTCGGGGCGGGCAGCTAAAACCTTGCGGAATGTCGTGGGCGTGTGAAATACATTGATGAAACTCATCTCGTCGTGATTGAAGGCGAAATGGGCGGGGTACGTTCTCGGGGCATATTCCACCCGACCGTGCAGAATGACGCACTTTTATGGAACTAGATATCTCACGACGTTGTTTGGTAGTCGACATCCGGGAGATTGCACGACAAATGCTGTCTTTTCTCGAACGGTCGATGCGGTACCTGTTACTTTCTTTTTATCATTTTGTTTTCATTTTCAGAGTGGTTTGTACCCTATTTTTGTTTTGTTTCCCTGCGGCGTCGTACGTGCCGGGTTTTGAGACCACGGGCTCCCCAATTTTTGTGGACTACAGAGCTAATGTGAGAACAACAACAACAACAACAACAACAGCTGAGCGGGTCCTTACGGAGTACGCTCGATATCGGGGAACTATGTACGTAGGCGAGTACGTTCTTCCAGGGCGATCAAACAGCCCACAGATGGACATACAAATACAAACATACAAGTCTATTTATTGCATGTCCTACATACCGGTAAGCGAACACAGCCGTATGGCTGTCGTACAATTTCCGCCTATCGACTACAACCAACGAACCACACCTGCGTTCATCGGCGCCACTATGCAGAGCACGTAGAGGGTCAAAATGAGGGTTACCACGCTCACGAAGAGACCCTGCGGTCGGGTCGGCGGTGTTGGACAGCGAGCGGCAGAAACCTGGGTACATGTGTAACCAGATCGGCAAGGTCTGCATCTTTGGTCAAGCTCGATGATAGGCTGCCTCCAGGGGTGTGGACCGATCCAGGGTTTCATGGGTGAACTGCAGCCACGCCCAGCACCGTCACGATTAGGGCCAGCGTAAACACAGCAGCAGTTCAACGCTGACGGGCGCTCCTGAAAACCGAGAACGTCCAACTTGAGCAAACACTCATTTAGCAAAAACATCCTGTTTGCTGGCGACAACCGAAAGCTTGGACTTTTCGAATAGCCCTCACATATATGATTGTGCCGCTTCCCGGCGTGGATGTCTGACGAACCTGGTAGACTACTGGCCTACAGAAAACATTGACCCGCCTAAACGGCACAGCAGCAGCCTACAAGCTGGGCCAGCCAGGTTGCATGCAAAATGGTTGAAAACGATTTACACCACGATTTATAACGAGTAAGAACCTGAAATTTTGATACGTGGTCGGTATTAGTACATCCCCCTATACACAAAAAAAGGATCACCATTTGTTCCTAAATAGGGCTACCTCGTGGATAATGAACAAAAAAGGGTGCTTCCAGTCAAGGTCTTGGTTGTACTAATACCCATCACATTGCAAAACTTCAGATTCCAACTCGTAAGAATCGTGGTGTAAATCGCGATATCCTCATATTCCCTCAGCTATCTTGGTAATTGTACAATATGAATCTTTACGAGGCCGTAACTTGTGATGGAAGATGAATTGAGCCCTGTAAATACCATCTACACCCTCGCACTGATCTCAGGTACGTGCATACCAAATTTCAGATTCATCTGAAAAACTTTTTTTAATACTGATTTCAGTACCAGAGGTATCGGGTAATTACGCAGTCAATTGATCGCGTAATACCTAAATCAACTCAGATTCGAAAAATTCTGGTACCTGCGGTTCCCCTGTTGTCTTGAACGAGCAGCTGCCAATTTTCAAGCCTGAACTCGTTTAAACGGCAGGGTGAGACGCCAAAGAGCAAAAGTGACCTTCTTGGCTGGCTCAGCTTGTAGCATGCCTTACCTTATGCTCGGCAGCGGAAGCTTGGTGCCAGAAGTCGCTAGCCCACTGCCGAAAATTCAGGCGGAAGTACGTAACGACCACGATCGAACACCACACCGCGCGTTCCTGCAAGAAGGCCCACGCGTGCAAAGGGGTACATGAAGCGCAAACCAGTTGGTTCACGCTGGTATGATACTCCTTTACAGGAGTCCAAACTGACCACGCCGTAACCAACGTCCAGCAGTCGCACAATTTAGGAATGTGCCACATTTAATCGTAAAACCTGAGACGGAGGGGAACTGAGCCCCTACAATACACACGTGGTCGGCCTTCCAGAGCAGGTAAGCAATGTAAGCAGCACTACACTTACAACACCAGGTTGGGGGCGTGGTGTTCCTCGTGCTCTCTTTTCCTTACCAAAAGCATCACTGAAGCAGCAGAGGAGACGCCCACCGCTTCAGTTGTGGATGGCATGGACTGCCTGACTCTTGCTCTTAGGTCTACCAGAACAGCGGGAAACGCACGCGCACACACTGCAGCACAGCAGCAACGCGGACGAATTCGGCGAGACCGAGTCAACGTTTAACTGGCCTCTCGTGTGTCTGTCGGGTTGGGAGATTTCGGAGATAGCATCATCGTAGATCGGAGGTCCTAAGAATCTAAGAATCGTAGAACATGCTTCCCCGAGGCCGGGTTGATTAAGAGTCTGTATCCCCAAACGGCTCTTTGAGTTTTGTGAGAGTCGGTTGTGGTCATCCCGCCCCGTTGTGTCGTTGTGGCGTGCCACTCTTTCTACGGCGAAGACCCTTGACTGCCGTTCTGAGGCGACGAAAGAGAAAGGTAGACAGCAGCATCCGCGCACAGCAGAGACAGACGCGCGACGGTGTGTGTACAGGTGTACCCTCAGCACGATTCTGTCACAAAGGCCGACAACGATACGCACCCCAAGTCCTCCCACGATGGGCGGCACTAAGGTCAAATCGCTGCTGACGACAGCAGTGGCAGCGCTATGCTTCGGCGCCACCGCTGCCTGCAGAGACTTCAACTGCTGGGGATCGCTTATGTGCAACGAGGGAGAGTACTCGGGAGTGTGCGACACCCCTAATGACTGCGCAGATACGGCAATCAAGTTCATCGACGACGTGATTCAAATTCGAGGTTGGAGGTGAGGGCGAGAGAGAGATGAGACGGCGAGTGAGAGGACAAATAATAGCAGATTAAGTAAGGAGAAAGACGCGAGCAGAGCGAGTGCAAGAGAGCACAGCAGCAACTAGATGTACACACCCACCACCAGCCACGCATGTGGTGTCAATGTCAATTGTTGGGAATCGCATAGCAAACACGAGACACGAACACACCCCAAACCTACCACCATGGATAAGGCAGCTGACGGCAAGACATTTTCTTCTCCGACCACCGCTGTATGCAGTCAAGTCACCTATGGTCTCCTCGAACAGCCTGTATTTGTATTTTATTTGTGCAGCGGTCGTGAGGTCAACGAGAGGTAGCGTGTGTCCAACGGATATCAAACCTCCTGGCTGGTATTCAAAATACGTTGGTGCGATTTGGGAGATAGGTGCTACCGAGGCGATACATGAGAGCTGTCGAGGATTTGCCCCCCCTCTTTTTCTTGGCCTGTGCGCTCCATCAACTTTACCCCGCCATTTTCCGGCTGGCTCAAGTTGAGTTTGTACCAGCAGCCTCGAACGGGGTCATCCTGCCGATCGCGGCAGCCTCTCGGCGAAATGCCCCGTCCTTCATGTTTATTTGGGGGTACTACTGCTGTATACCGCCAAAACTAAACTAGGTACGCTTTGTTTCAGTGCGTTTAGTACATCCTATGCCGAGAACTACTTATTACTGACATGGTCCTGTGGAAGGCGCTACCGACATGATCCCTTGCGTGCCTGCGTTCGAAATTGTTCGGAGGGAGGTTGCAAGGGTGCAGTTTTCAATCATGCATACATAAGGACGGAGGCTTCCCTCGTTGGGGGAAGGCCCAGGTCGCAGTAGTATTTACCCACTTACTAAGGGCTGGCAGTTCTCTTCGTTGAGATGTAGAGAGGAGAGGGTCTCAGACGAGAGAGACAAAAGAGTAGAGAGAGTGCCGCCGAAGGGACGAGGGAGGCCAAGCCCGAGGGTCTCGGATTCCCAAGCTCCACAGGTGGCGCCAAGAGGGACGCATCCATTGTCGGGTCTCTTGCTGATCAACCACCAGTAAGATCCTCCGTTCGGATCGTATCTTGGTCCTACTTCTGTATGTGCAACAATAGTGGTTACAGCACTTCTACACCCGTCATCCACATCACGCCCCCCTCTATGCGCCACAAGTCCATCGTTGCTAAGGATGCATTTTGGCCTTTCTAGAGGCATTCGGCGATATACATGGAAACAGGTGTTGGAAGTATGATCATCATACTGTTGTGTTGCAACATCTTCAACCGTGTCTGAGTCAGATTGTCCGTGTTGAGAAAACACAAGTCCATCAAACTCGGTTGAAGATGTGGTCCACAGCAAAAGTACAGAAAATCACAGAAAAAAAATTTAAGATGCTTTATCTCGTGCATACATAGTTCTGACAAAAGAAAATTTCCTCCGTTGAGATATATTCTAGGGTGGCCATACCCCGATTGTGTTCACGAAGTGAATAGCAAAACCATGATTTCAGCTACAAAACCGTTTGAAACTGTTCGCTGAATGTACCATGCCTGGGTAAAAAACTCTTTGGCTACAAAACAGGTAACCGATGTCACGGAAACTGGTAACTCATTTTCCCTGCACAGTTTTTTCATCGCACGCGTGGATCAGGCGCTTGTTTCAAGTGTTGTTTCAAGGAGTGATGCCGTGGGCGGTGGCTTGCTCCTAGAGATAGATGACGGTTCTGTCGTTGACACGCTTGTCCACGACCACGTTGAGGTGGGAAAGTTGCTTGTGATTGCTGAGAGACGATCAGCAAAGGTCTGGGATGAAGTGGGGATTCAGCTTCATCTCAGGGGGTACACAGAGTAGACAATTCTAAGGGGGTAGGGGTCAGAAGGGTATACCTCCTTACCGACCCGCATCCTATCAAAAATAAGATGTACCCCATTCATGCTAGCAGCCACACTCCTCAACACTTGCTGGATGATAGTGCGAAAAGGGCTGGTGTCACCAAATGACTAATGAACGGAAAATTGGTCGCGTGGCCAATCGTGTTAACATCTTTATTTTGTTTTGTACTTCAATGGATCTTCGTCGAAAACACACTCAAGACAACACTGAGAACCAAGGAGTGGACAACGTAAATGGGGTGCCGGTGAAATCGATCTGTCGTTCGCTTGTTGAAACCGTAGAACGTATCCACACGTCGCGTGGTTTCCGTTGGTTTCTTGAACAATGCTAACAGCAACAAAGTCGTAAGACTTTCTCCTCGCCAGTGTTTTTCGGGACCCAACAACACTGACTGATAAAATATAATAGGGTACCAAAAAATATACCAAAACCCCTTGTCACCGTCACCATCTCCATGTCCCGAGGGTATGGAAAAAGATAGGTTGAACTCGTCCCCATGTCGTTGAAAAAAATAACTCGAGAATGATAAACAAAGTTGAGCTGCAGAGCAACGGCAGATAAAATTGCGAGCGCTCTATATCTGGCATTGTTGCTCAATTCCTTGCCTCGGTACGTCTTCGCTTCCTAGTTCGGCAGGGTGATGCTTCGTCCCCCTGCTTGTTGAGGGTGCGAACCGGGGTTGCTGTAGGAGGCGCGATATCCAAACCACAACGGATTCGGTATGCAGCTATCATTTCTCGACATTGTGGTATTTCATATGCGCGGTATTCGAGGTCTGACTCCGGGCCATACCCTCGAAGACGCAAACGGTATCGATAATGCAAAGGAGTCCTCGAACCCCGACCACTTGTGTGGCTTACCACTTTGTCGACAACATTAGACTCAATTCTTGGTTGGGCCTCATCAGGGTGATCGACAGCGGGTAACGGAATCTGTCGCCTTAAGAACTCAGCGAGTTTATCAAAGTCGGGCGCAGGAGGTGTTTCCCTCGCAAAAGATCGTTTAATATGGGCTAGGTGAACCGAAACTTGTCGAGTTTCTTTTGAGCGTCTCACTCGGTATACTACAGGTGATGGTTGCGAGCAGGCGACGTATGGTCCCCGCCAAGGTAATAGCAATTTTGGGTTTGGGCCATCGGAATCCTGATATGGTCTGTATACCAGTACTTGATGGCTAGGTGTAAACATGGGAATCGGTCTAGCCGCTTGCTTGTTCGTACGCTCCGTTTAGTTTCGGCGCGCTAATTCGAAAGCAATTCGTAAATTCTCCCGCGTGTCTTTCGCAAGTTCTCCGGTATTTGCTGTTGTTCCTACATGAGGAATACCGAGAATGATATCGACAGGTAGTCGTGGTTGTCTACCAAACATGAGAAAAAATGGAGTTTCATGCATGGTTCCACTAAAAGAAGTGTGCACCAGTTGTATGAAGGGTAGTAGCGATGCCCAATTATCGCGCTTCATTGAACTATGCATGGCAAGCATTGCGTGCATCGTTGAATGTAGTGGTTCTGACACAGAATACCCTTTCGGACGATATGGTGTGGTGCGGGTTTTCTTGTTGTTCAGAATACTCTGTAACTGGTGGATAACACTCGCCCCGGTGGTCTAGTGGGTAGCCTCGCAGCCTTCTAAGGGTCAGGTCATGGGTACGAGTCCCGGCAGAGAGAGCTTTTTTCTCACTAAAATAAATCCTGGTCTAGGATGAAAGCAACGCGCTGCAAAGCTCGTTTGTTAGTAAACCATAATCGACTTTGTAAGTCGCGAGGGAAAGGATTGCTGTTCTCTTCTCGCGATAAACATTCCTCAGGCATGCACCGCAGGAGGGGGTCCAACCCCCCCCTCCTATGTGACCCCGGTTGGGTCTTCTAGCTAGTAGAAGTGGAGGATGGGGGCCAGAGGGGCAGACGACAGAGTCCAATGATGGGAGAAAAACAAAACAAAAAAAAATATCCTCAACTTCAGGCCGTTGATCAGAATGCAACATCTCAGGCGGTCCAAAAATGCCTATGATGCGGTCAATGATAGCCTGAGCAACTGTGACAGCTGATTTATTCGGAATCGGAGTCAACACGGTGAATGGGGTTAGACGGTCTATCATGGAGAGGACATATTTGCATCGTACGCCGGCGGCTGACAGCGATTCGCTCTTGTATCCAACTAAGTCCACTGAAACTCGCTCAAACGGTCGTTGTACTGGTACGTGTCCAGTTGGCAGTTTGGTGCGATTGTGCGCTTGCCGACGTTGGCATGTTTGGCATTCCTGACTCCAAGTGCGAACGCCGCGACTCATGTTTGGCCACCAATATTTCTGGCGGATCTTGTCATAAGTCGATCTAGATGCTAGGCGACCTCCGCACAAAACATGATCGTGGTAAGCGTGCAAAACTAAGCCCGTGAGAGCTTGTGGCAATACTAATTGATCAGTGGAAGTACTCCGTTTCCTGAGATAACCTGGTGAATACGATTCAAACAGCAATCCGTCTCGTACAAACAATGGGACATTGTTGTTGCTGTTTCGCTG